AAAGAAACACTGTTGTATTCAGAATTCTTAATCGGAGTGCTTGGTCTTGGACCTGTAAAAAAGCTTCTTCTTTTTAGAAGTTTGGTTATCAAATGTCAGCACAACCTTCCCGACTTCACCAATTTTGAAGCTGCAGCTAATTACATGTTCATCGGCCGGTCCAATCTTCCTGGACTTTTGCACAATCTTAGTGTACCCGCCCTCGGTGCTGGGAATAAACTCTGCTCCATAGTACACATCCCAGCCTAGTACTCTTACTTCCCACTCCAATGTGCAAGCCTGTATATCCAACATTCAACAAATCATCGTACCAACGAAATAAAATCAAATCTTGTCTATTGTAGTGTCTTCAGTATTATAGGAGTACCCACCTCGGTGATTGGCCATTCAATTGTGTGCTTAGAAGTCGGCTTAATAGTTTCCTCAGTCGCAGGATCAGCATTTGTGAATTCTGTTTCACCCTCTTTACTCAGGCCACCATATTGAACCGGTACTTGCTCGGGTGCTATGTATCTAACATTTTTCACAGTTCATTTGCAAATTAACCAAAGTGAAAACCAAAGAAATGTCAATCAAACGAATGAAAATTAAAGTATTTTACATTTTTACTCACTTGAAGAGGGTCTCAGCAGTCTTGGCTGGGCTAGCAAACACAAACTTGCTCTTGGTTCGTTGGGTCAAGAATGGACTGATCATCCTATTGTAGGCCACATACCACCACGGAACATTGATGAACACCTTTGCACATTGTAGCCAACCCGAATCAGCAATAAACTAAACCACTTATAAGTTATAAATGAATTTAAGGTACGAATAAGGATATCTACCTGTTTGGCTACAAATTCGGGATAATTGTCCTGGAGCAATTGCAAGGCCTGATTGGTGGCTTGGCGAAGTTCCGTCTTGAATAAGAAGAGTCCAGGCGAACTCTTGAGATCAGTGATTTGAACAATAGTGCATGTACCATCAGGACTGAAATCAAGTTTCCTTATATTCTTTTCGAGAAACTGAATATACCATCTCAAAAATTTGGATCTCTTTTCAGCATCCGACAAAGTTTTGTTGTACAATTCCTTGTCCTGGAACTCTCCAAAAGCATTGTAACAAACAGGGTGTCCTTCTTTATCCATCCCATGAATGTAGGCTACCCTTTCGAGCCCCTCACCGATACCTTCCTCTTCTAGTAATTCATCGATTTTGAACTTCTTTCTCCAGGCTACAACACTTTTGAGCATGGCCAAGGCTTCTTTAACTTTGAAGTCCCTAGCTCTTAAGAACTTGAGGAGAATTACGTCGCTCTTTTCATTTGCTAATAGTGGATATCCCCAGAGTTCGACCACCTCTGGTGGTGGTGGTGGTGGTGCGGTTTCCTCAGCTGGCATCTCCTCCGTTGGCTTATCTTCCTCCTTGGGGGCTGGAGGGCACTCCTCGGTCGGCGGCTGTTGTGGGACCACTCCGGTATCTTCGTGAACTATAGTTTCTTTGATTTCTTCCAAAGCTGCTTCAACTTTCTCAACAGCAACCACTGGTACAGATGGTTTCTCTTCTGGCTTTGTCTCAACCGGCTCTTCTTTCACCGGCTCTGCGGCAGGTGGGATTGGAGCTTCAACAGGAGCCTCGCATGCTTCTGGTTTTGGCTCTCCTTCCTTTTTCTCTTCCGGTTTTGATTCTTCTTCTTTCTTCTCTTCAGGTTTGGATTCTTCCTCCGGTTTCTTCTTCTCTTCCTCCTTGGCCGGGGCTGGTGGTGGAGTTGGTGGAGTGGTGAATTCATACTTGATAATTGCCTCTTGAATCAACTTCTTGAATTCATCCAAGGCCTTCTTTTGTGGGTCAATAAGATCATCAACCTTATTGCTTTCCTCCTTGAATGAAACAGATTCAGTTATCTTGTTCTCATCAACAGCTTCATCTTTCTCACCTTCCACCACTTCTTCCACCGGCTTTTCAACCTTCTCCGCCTCCGGCACCACCAGCTCCGGCTGTGGCACCACCTCTTTCTCCGCCACAGGAACATCAGATTTCACAACCTCATCAGTTGCACAAGAGGCCTCAACAACAGATTTTTTGGTTTCTTCAGCCATGTCTTGTTTCCAAGCAATTCACCAAAAATAAATAAATTTTATTGAAAACCCAATATACAGAAAAGAAGAGCTTTGTTGATGTATATCAACTGAATTCGGAGAGGATTAATATGAACAAATTGTAAGTGATTACGGGGTGGGGGTGGGAACAGCGTGTCAATTACTTGTAATTGCCAGGTCGTTACCTCTTTGTAATGGGGTCCAAAAGAGAGAGTGAGAGAGAGAGAGAGTATCATTTTTTTTTTTTCCTAATAATTGAAATAGTCAAACATACCTCATTTGTTCTCATTGATTGGTTACTTAGAGTAACACCTGTTGTCTTTTTTGAACCGTAGGTGTAGCAGTGACGGAGAAATAACGTTGTAATAACAAACAATATACAGCTGATAATTTCTATATAAATTTTTGGTCTTGTATTTAATCTTGTAACACTTGGATTAGGATATGTATTGTCTTAAATAAAATAAATCATTATCTTGCAGTGTTGTAATCCCAAAAATAAATATGGAAGGTGCAATCAGTTGATGCAATAAGAGATTGAATTAGTTATTTAACACCATAATTATGGAACTTGTTACGCATCGAGTTGGAGATATGAGTCAAAGTTGACAAAGTGAACAAAACCCCCAATTGGTCAATGTAAAAAAGTTAAAAAAAAGAAGCCGAAGCTCTTCACGTCAAAAACCTCCAATTCGAAGCTCCCTTTGACCGAAACCCTCAATGACTCTCTGAGAATCTATAGACAATCTCTTGAAATGATTGATGTAACGTCTGTAATAAGAATGTCAATGTATTAAATGCGTAGCAGACTAAATAATGTGAGGCTTAGACTGGGAGATGAGGTCATGCGGTTATTATCCAACGGCAACCACTTTAGCCAAAATTCTATAACTACCAACTCTTGTAACATTCGAATCTAATGCAACTATTTATACTTAAAACCGCACTTAATCTTCTCTTTTGCTCATTTCATATTTGTTTTGCTTGAGTTTCTATTATTTTTACTTTGGTTGAGTTGCTTGTGATTGTTCATTTATGTACAATCATCTTTGATCATATTGCTAGTGTCTGGATACTTTTGTCTCGCGTCATAGAGTATCTCACACGTTCATAAACGCAACTTTTTCCTTCCAAATCTCCGGTCAAAACGTGTTGAAATTTGCTTTCGTGGATGGGAGTGAGCTCGACATCTGTTGTCTATGTCGATCTTACAAAAAGAAAGGTCAGCAGATTGGCGCCGTTTGTAAGAAACCACAAATTCAACCACAAAGAACCTGTGGAAAAAAATGATAAGGAAATATATTTTGGGGCAAGTTTCATGCCTTTGAGAAAAATGGGTTGTTCTTGAAAAAAGAACCACTAAAAATTCCAAGAGAAACCGTTTGTAAGAGTTCGGTTTATTCCTTGAAAATGAATATCATTTGCAAGGAAAAAACCAAAAAAGTTACTTTTTAAGAGAAGATGTTACCATGAATTCTGACAATGAAGCGTTAGCACCTCGGAGAGTTAGGGAACACCTTGAAGAATGGGAACCTTCACATGTTGTTCCTACAGTCTGCCATTGATTTCATCAGCATCATCGACGAGGTGGATCCAGAATAATTGTTAGACTCATTAGGGTTATGAACATGCAAAGCAAGGGAGGATACCCAATCCCACCATACATAGCTTCAGAAAATGCTCTCTTCCACAATTTTCCCTAATTTCTAAAGGAAATTACTATCATGGTGAATATGAGGTTCAAAGACAAATGGTCGATTATCAACGTTACACCAGGGAAGAGGCCCATCAAGAGAGGGAAGTTGAGGTCGATACATCCACCAACTACAATACTAATCAGCCCAATGAGGTTCCGTTCAACTTTTCTTCAAATTATGAACTGGAAGACATGCATCAGAGATCCACAAGTATTTTTGACAGGTAAAGCCCCCGAAAGGCTTAGAAATAGGCAAGCTCATCCTCCTCCTACACTTAGAAATAGACAGCGGGGACCATCTCAGCTTGCCTGACAAAATAAACCTACACAGTTATAATCAATGACCATAATCTTGTATTGGTCGCAGAGTGGCCAGAGCCACTAGGAAAGAGGCAATTCGGTCCCTATGCAGGTGTATTCATTTTTATTCAAATTTTTATGCTGGACACTTTTCTCGAACTAGTTTGACACACGTGCGATGCACGTGCCGTTGGTGAGGTTGGGTATTAAATAGTGTGTTGTTTAAGGAAAAAAAATGAAAGAAAATGAGGAAAGTTTTGACATAATCTATAAGTGTATTGTAATTAT